TGAAAGTGTCAGATTTGAATTAAATGTTTTGATCAATGCTACTTGTAATTATGTAGACCGTTATATAGACAATTATATTTTTGTAGCATCACTCTTTTTAATTAGATGTTGGCAAAAATAAAAAAAAAAAAAAGAAAAAGAAAAATTTCCAACCATACACTGTCTATAAATCTGTTCGTACAGGAGTTAGTTTTATCGTAAAAACTACAATTTTGATCATACTCAGACCTTATTCGTGTCGATAATAGTGTAAAAGTTAGTGTTTGAACCGTATTCCAACAAATTTAATCAAATTGAAATTTCAAGAGTTTGATATCATAAATACATTCACAAATAGGGCATAACATTCAACCAAGAATCATGTGAACTCTCAAGTATATCTAACTCATTATTTGTACGAGTAACATATCTCAAAGTTTTTTCCTTTATTTATAATCTTAAACGATTACTTTTTTTTACGACAATAGATATTTAAAAGCAAAGCCACCACTATTACTTTAGTGAACAAAAATAAATATGCTAAGATGAACGGTGTAGAGCCTTGTTGGGCTGTTGAAAAAGCTCATTAAAGTGTGTTTATATATAAAAATATTTTATAGACTTCGTTTTTCCAATTTCAGTGCGCATAAAAAACATCCATTAAGAAGATTGGTGGAAACATTCGATGGTGGAACACTCAACTAATTCAAACCTTACAAAGGAACGATCAAAATTCATTTCCATTTGACTATGAAGTAGGGTCTCCACTTCAAATAGATAAAATAAATAAATAATTTCGTAAACAAAATTTACGTAATTTTTTTTATTACTGTCGAGCAATATCTAATTTTCCTTATTAAATATGTCAATAAAGTTTAATGGTGGACGCCTAAACTTATTGGCAAATATTTATAAAAATCGTCTGCAATAATCAATTTTATGTTTGAGATAGGTGTTCGTCGCCCTATCCCTTTCTTACTCGGGTGGGGAGACGGGGACATCTAGATGGGAAGCATGGACATCATTAGAAGGTGATGCTACCAAAAATCGTACATGTTGACTTCCGAGCTTGACGA